CAGACCGAATCCCCCAGCCTGTCCACCTAAGAACCCGGCTGGGCTACCGTGCTGTGGGCGTTCGCTTCGCTCCTCGGACACCGACAGTAGCCAAGGGGCCAGAAAGGTGCTACCAGGGTCTGGGGACTCAGGTCCGGGCCTGGTGAGTGGGCTGGCTCGGCCTCGGGAGGGGTTCAGAGTGACGAGGGTAAGCCATCCCCTGGCGTGGCATCACCTGTCACCGAGCACAGCCTACCCACCTCCCTCTTCACCTGTGAGCTAGGGATGAGTTCGGAGGGACCTACCTGTCTTGCTGATGGGGTTCTCGGATTTCGGAGGAGCGAATTTTTCCTCACAAATTCCAGAAAGCCAGCGAGCTGTCAAAAGAGGTTTGAAGTTGTTGATAATTATCATTTTTACAATGCGAAGAAGAGCCTGGCTTTGCGTCTCCGGTTTCCTGCTCCATTGGAAACCCTGAATGAAGGGCCTGAGTCGGATAGGTGCTGTTCAGACCAGGGGAGCTGGATCGTTTGCCTTATCCATACCCAGGAGCCCAACTGGTACTGGAAGCAGAGGTTGATGGCTAAGAGGTTAAGACAACTTTAATAACACCAGAAAAAGGATTTTCAATCCTGGGGTGCTTCGGCACCCTCACGGTCTTGATTCCTTGTCTGGTAGTCAGTGTATCTACAGCGGTGGTCACTACTTTTCTGTGAGGGCCTGTGCAAGCTAGACCCCACAATATCTCATGGTCTTCCAGCTCCCTGCTGGAGATTGAGCACACAGAGTTTACTCAACACGTCCAAGTATTTGACAAACGTCCCCTACTGCCCTCTCGTGGCCACACTTTTCAGTGGTTTAAAAACAAAAATGGGGACGTGGGATCATTGCTTCTGAAACCAAATGTTTTGTTGGCTGAAAATCCCAGTAACAGGGCCTTAAAAAAAGAAAGAGAAAGGAAATTAACTCTCACCAGCCATCTCAGAGACACTGGATTATGGAATGTAGGCCTCATTTAGCTTTTTTTTTTTTTTTTTGGTATTTTTTGAGATAGGGTTTCACTATATATCTCTGGCTGTCCTGGAACTCGCTATGTGGACCAAGGTGGCCTCGAACTCATAGAGATCTGCTTGCCTCTGCCTCTCAGGTGCTGAGATCAAAGGTATGTGCCACTATGCGATGCCTGGTTCAATTAATTATTCTTTAAAAATCTGGTTACCTCATTTAAAAGCTCTTCAATTAATTAATTGGTTTAAACTTGTGTCCAGTAAGTACCACTGGCTGTTGCTGACTTTGTCCATTGGAGGCACAAAGAATCTGAATTCCATGATGCACATCTATCTTGTCCTTTGAATTTATGTAGCATTTATTTTTGTTAATACCCCAGGTGATTCAGTCATTCATTCTTCCTGTATTACTGTTTAAGTCTGTATATAAGTGGGTCTTTTTCTCCCTTCCCAAACAATTGTGTTATCCTCTTATTTCTAAGTAAACTAGCTTTAAGGCACAATTTGTTAAGGAAGATTAAAGGTGCTCACAGAATCTAGAACACTTTTGGCATGGTTGTGTTTTGTTTTGTTTTTCGAGACAAGGTTTCTCTGTGGCTTTTGAGACTGTCCTGGAACTAGCTCTTGTAGACCAGGCTGGTCTTGAACTCAGAGATTCGCCTGCCTATGACTCCTGAGTGCTGGGATTAAAGGCATGCGCCACCAACGCCCGGCCACTTTTGGCCTGTTTTTAATGAGGGGGGCATCAGTCTGATCATCCTTCATAGGGCTGAGGTAACTGACTGGTAAGGCTCTTGGTTGAATATCAGGGCCCTTTAATTCTAAACCAAGCAATAAGCAACGGCATGTTCAGGGGGGTATTTAATTTCATCTTGAGATGATTACAATACAATTTAAATAATTTCAGATATAAGTCCCCACCCCCCGTGATCCAGAAATAAACACTTAAAGAAGAATGGGGCACATTAAATGAAAGTGACCCCTCCACACATGCCCATCCTCTTCTCTACTCCCCATGCTTGCCCAGCCAGTCATGAATAAAGAGGCAGAAAGGGAGAGGGTGGGAGAAGGAACACCTGCAGACAGATCACACTGCAGGCTGGGTGACGGGATGCCACCCTACTCCCGAAATGCTACTGAGCAGCATCTGAAATTGAGGCAGAAGCCAGATCTAGGAGGCACTTGGATGAAGTGCCTTTGTCTTCCCTAAGCCTGCTTCCCATCTCTAAGATGGAGCTGGAAGGTTAAAACCAGATGTGATGGTGTTTGAAGAATTAAAGTGTCCTTAAAATGGGAAGTTTGTTGATGTGGGTCTTAGTAGTTGCCGTGTGACAGAGGAGATGCAACTCACGTGTCTACTCCCCTAGGCAGGGATCCCATGACAGACCAAAGTATGAAACCATCGAAGTCTGACTTGGTGAACCATGGAGTTTTATCGGGGTTGCTTACAAGAAAATGGGAGAGGGGTTACCTACAGGAGCAAAAATTACTCAAAGACAGCTGCATAACCAAGGTCTACTCCAACACTGGTGACAGCTCACCAAAACTGGGAAGCCTGGAGCATACTGCACTGCCTGCAGGCAGCTCAACAGGTTAGAGAGTGTTCTTTCCAAGTGACTCTGACCTATCGAAACCTCTTCCAGGCAACTCAGCTGGTTTTTGCTTCTTCCAGGCAGTTGGTTTGGCCTCAGAATCTTCTGCACCTCAGCTTTCCTTTATCTGAGCCAGGCTCTCAACTTTTATTGCTTACTCTGGCAGGAGGTAGTGACCTTACTACGGTCACTTTCAGGGACTTCCTGAAGCTATTTTGATTTGTTTACCTTCCTGCATAAGGAGCTTCCTGCAGGAGGGAATGCCTTTTATCTGGTATCAAACTGTTAAACAACATTAGTTAAGCATATAGTTACACTTTAAGAATTAATAGAGCCCATGCCTGACACTGCTCTGGTGGCCAAGAACCTGAGACAAGACAGGCTGTGGGTCTAAGTGAAAACCAAATACTATTGTTCTGCTCAAGAAAATTGCAGTAAAGTTACTCCTGGGATGGAAAGATGCTCAGGGGTTAAGAGCACTGGCTGCTCTTCCAATGACCCAGGTTCAACTCCCAGCTGTCTGTAACTCCAGCTCCAGATGATCTGCTACCCTCACAACCAATGCACATAAAGTTAAATAAGTAATAAAAAATTAAAAATGAAATTCCTCCTAATGACATTCTGTTCCATCTATAGATGAGTGGCTCCTTCATCCATCAGGAGTAAACTGCCTTTTGCAGTAGGATGAGAACTAACACCGAGAGCTACAACTAGACAGTGTGCAGAGAGTGAGAAATCTTGGAACACAGTCCTCAGGCCTCAGGGTACAGAAGTGAAGGTAGATTGTAAGAGCCAAAGGGAATGGATGACACCAAAGAAACAGTGTCTTCCAGACACAAGAGGATCTGAGCACATAATAGCTCACAGAGACTGTGGTAGCCTGCATAGGTTCAAGCTAGAGGGGGTCCTAATATGGAGAGGGGAAAGTAGATACGAGCTCCCATCCCTAACCTTAAGAAGCTGTCTCCAATTGAATCCACCTGCAAAAGAAAAATTAGATTTCTCCAATGGAGTCTCACAGTATATTAACCACAAGGCTCGCCCGTGTCCAGCAGTAGATGGCCAACACAAAACAAACTGTTTTTTGTTTTGTTTTGTTTTGTTTTCTGTCTTACTGGTCTATTGCTTGTATATTATGGCTTCTATTTTAAGTTTTAATGTGTTTTGTTTGTTGTATGTATTTGCATGTGTGTGCTTTTTTTGAATTCTGGGTTTTGTTATTTTTTTTGTTTTTTAAAGAGAGGGGACATATAAAGTTGGGTGGGTGGGGATTTGGGAGGGATCTAATAGGAATCAGCGAAGGGGAAACCATGATCAGGATATGTTTTGTATGAAAAAAGTTTTCAATAAAAAATAATTAAGGTAATCAGTGTAGGTTCCTGATTTTTACAGGGGACAGTAATGTCCACAGCCTCAAGTCTTTAGAGGGCCTATCTTGACCATCATCCATTTGGCCACAAAGTATTTATTATTAAAAACAACTTTATTGCCCAGCAGTAATGGCACATACCCTTATGTGCAGAAGCAGAAGCAGAAGCAGGCAGATCTCTGTGAGTTCCAGGACAGCCTGATCTAAAATGTAAGTTCAAGGACAGCAAGGGCTGTTACACAGAGAAACCCTGTCTTGAAAACCTGGAGAAAAAAAAAGCAACTTTATACATTTCTTCTTTCCATAGAACTGTATATTGTACATAACTAAAATTGTAAATCAGAAAATTTACAATTTTAGTTGATACATAACAACGGTACATATTTATGTGGTGCCATGTGACATTTCATGATATGTAACGTGTCATAATCAGATTGAAGTAATTAGCATATTGTCAACTCAAACAGTTATTATTTACTTTGCAACACATAATAAATTATTGTGACCGGTAGTAGCCATACCATGCTATAGACTCTGGAGATTAGCTCTCCCATCCAGCTGTATCTATGCCTTGGCTAGCCAAATCCTCTGTCACCCTCCAAGGTTCTGGCGACCACCTTAGGACTTTCTGCTTCTATGAGGCCTTTGCATGAGCCTTTCTGTGCCTGGCTTCATTTGACATAAAGTGCTCTGAGCACATGGGAGTCTTCCTTCCGGTGGCTGAGTAGCATCCCTTTTTTTTTTGGTTCATCAATAAGCAACAGACTCCATACCCCTATGCTTTGCTGGATTTTCTGAGGATTCATTTTCTTGTATCTATCTGGCCTTCCAGTGTCTCCTTGTCATCCTGCCCAGGCTGTGTCAAATCATAGACCTTGGGGAACTGGCCAGTTCCCTTATTTCTGCCAAGAGGGACAGATATGGCCCAATGCAGTTTTAGTCAAATGTCTGGCAAATATTAATAAATACCCATCAAATAAAGGATATTCTCAACTTTGGAAGTTGTTGCAAGCTCCAAGGAGTTCTTACCCAGCTGCTCCACACAGGGATCCTGAAGCATTATCCTGTCACAGTCATGTGTGGCTACGTTGCTGTTCCTCTTCCCAGGCCTCTTTCCCTGTCACCACATGACTGACATAGACAAGGTGATGAGAGAAGTAAGAGAGAACAGGAAACTGTGTTCCAGGGAGGGACC